AGACATAAAATACATACAATTGTTTTAAAATAGCACTATTCATCAGATTTGGCCCAATCAAAGTACTGCACTGAGTCAGGCTATTTGGGGAAGGTTCACTTAATATTCTAACTAAAGCAATTCACTCTGAGCCTTTCCTAAAGCTTTGTTAGTGATCTGGAGGGGCACAACATGATTTGGAGGGCTTAATAGAGTTTCCTGGCCAACAGCTTTAATTTCTAATCAGAGTGAAAATTCTCAGCCAGGCTTTCTGATCTCAGTAGTTGGAGAGGGGAAAGTAATATTCTGCAGATTTATTCCAGGATTACTTCCTATTAACTCTAATGAGTAGTAATATTAAAAGATTTCCATGGAGTGTGTGGGGCCTAAGAGGATGTAAGATTTGGAAAATGGTGATTTGCAATCTTGTGCCTTTCCAATTGTATATCTCACATCCCTTGTTCTCATGTTGCATTTTTAGGACTTTGGTACCAACTAAACAGAACTCAAAACTTACTTAAACTATCCATGTCTATGAAGATTTTCAATCATCTATGTCATGGTTTGTCCCAAAGGTACATTTTTTCCAAAAGGCAACTGGATGTTCTTGGGTTTTTTTTTTCTTTGAAAACATTTCACTTCTCATCCAAGAAACTCCTTCAGTTCTCTTTTTTTTTAGAAACAAAACACTTTCAAAGAAAAAAAAACCAGGAACATCAAATTGCCTTTTGGAAAAAAAAAAAACCCACACATTTGGGTTCCTTAAACTATTTAAATGCATCATAGCTTCTCTGCATGTGTCTCTTGGAAATTGAGCAGGCTTCTCCCCTTGAATGATCATGGCATTTATAGAAAAATAGTCTCTTCCTCAACTACCTGCATGGATATGAATAAGAGTTCCAGCAATCTTGGGGGATTGTAGGTCTTTCTAAAACTCTCTTTGTGGAAAAGGAGGGAGTTTCAAGGGGAGCAAAGAAGGATCTTCTGCTTCATCTGTTATGTTAAGATCAGTGGTGGGATTCAATTTTTTTTTACTTCGGTTGTGTGGGCATGGCTTGGTGGGCATGGCGTGGTGGGCATGGCAGGGGAAGGATGCTGTAAAATCTCCATTCCCTCCCCGCTCCTGGGGGAAGATTACTGCAAAATCCCATTCCCTCCCCAATCCACTAACCTGCTTTTCAGCTCTGTTCTCCTGTGCAGGGCAACAAAAGAAGACCCAGCCAATCATCTGGGACTCAGGAGGCAGAGAATAAATGGGGACAGGGCCAGTCAGAGGTGGTATTTGCCAGTTCTCTGAACTACTCAAAATTTCCGCTACCGGTTCTCCAGAACCTGTCAGAACCTGCTGAATACCACCTCTGGTTAAGATTGTATTATGATTCTATGTATTAAGATTTTAGGTGATGGGAAAACTCTGGTTGAGATTCAGGAGAAACGCTATTAGTCAAAGCAAACCATACCAAAATGCATAAAAATGGATTGATTGATTGATACAAAGCTGCTGCTTCTCATTACATTATAACAATAAAGCATTAAAATGTCAAAGGGATATTCAGGTTTGGTTCTGTGGGTGAGCATTTCATCATTTTTTTTTAGCTGAGAAAGCTCTGAAGTTTGGAAAAGAGAAAACATATCCTTTTTCTTTTCCTCCTATACCACATAACCATGTACTGGAGAGGGAAAGAATTTGGTGTTATTGGGTTTTGCTTTGTTTTTGTTTTTTTTATGCATGCATTATACATTCCCTGCTTCATACATTTTCCTCCAGATTATTCATTGTGGAGTTCTTTAAATCAATAATTTTTCAAAAAAGAAATGTAATAAATTAATATACTATTTTGCCCCCAGGAAATTCTCCAAAAATATAGAAAGAACTGCTATATTTTTTCTTCCCAAACAATAGGAAATCAACCATCCAAATTTATTAGTGGAAGAAGTTGTTTGAAGAATGGGAAAATAATAATTGATGCTAAGAAATGAAAATAACTGTAGAGCAACCTATTGAGGTCAGGATCTGGGACATTTGAAGCAAAAATGTCACAGGTGGTTGATAGATATGATCCTAAACAAAAGTCATTCCCTGGATTATGCTTAGAAGATCTACTGCCTGCAATTCATCATTTATTGTTCTATTTGTTTATGGATTCTCTATTCTTTTTTCCTCCTTTAATTCCCTTGTTTAAATCAGTTTTTCTTTCCATTTTTAAAACATAAATCTCACTATCAGTGTTCATTATGCGTATATGACAGCTGGATATACAAGCTATGGAATGAATCCAAAAACATGCCTTTTGTTCCTTTCGGATGAACTTCAAGCTTGTTCAGTTGTGATATGACAAACTAAAGTACGACTGAGGAGTCCTTGGTGGTGTTTCAGCTTGCTTGTTTTCTTGCAGATGTCTCATTACTCAAACTAGGTAACATCATCAGTGCTAGCCAGTGATGATGTTGCCTAGTTTGCAGAGGTGGGATCCGACCAGTGTAACTACCGATTTGGTGATTTTTACGTTTTGCGTGTAAGAAGGATGTAAACAGTTTGAATAATAAGCCTTATAAATAAGTTAGGAATTTGCTTTACTTATTTCAGCCCTCTAGGACAGAATATTAATTCCCTAATTATGTGCGTGAATTTTCAGTAAATGATTGTGAAGACTAAATACTGTAGATCCTGTCTATATGGAAAAAACTGGCAATTTTGCTGTCAGAAGAGGTACAACAGCTATCAGTAGGATATACCTTGAGCATCAAACCCACAGAAGTCGAGAAAATTCTGAACTATATTTTACAGGTTATCTACTACATGAGCTGCAAGAAAGATTAATGAGAATCTGGCAAGGGAGCACTATGGATTAGGCTCAATGAGGCAAGTGGTGACTTGTGCTAATTTAGCTCCAGTCCAATCCTGTCCCTAGGGAGTTTGGCAGAATTGGCCAACTCCACCTGATTTGCCAGGAAACCTTCACCCCACCCTGGCAATGCCAAGTTCCTATTGTAGAGAGGGAACATTCGGCGTCAGACATACTGTCTGTTCAGAGATCTTAGTGATAGATTTGGAGACCTCCGCTGTAACCCAACCATTTGTAGTTCTTAGATGGGCCTGCTTTCAAAAATAAATGTCAGATTGCACTCATATTTTAATTCCTTCACTCCCATCTGAATATACCTGGTTGGATCTCTCAGATCCTACAACCTTGGTGACAGAGGAGTATGCCCCAACAGAGTTTTACAAAGTTAGTTTTTACCAAAATATTAATATCTTTTTGGCCTTATCCTAAATGATGCCAAGACATACTTCAGTAAATTAGCAACATACTGCAATTTATTGTTATAAGCAAGCAGACAGACATTAGTTTGAAATATTTATGTTTTAAAGACTTTGCCTTTGGCAATAGTCTGAAGATGTAATGGCATGCATGCATCAGCCAAAGCTATGTGAACTTTTGATTAAATCTATGCTGCCTTCTGTTTCATTTTCCTGCTTGTTGGCTTTAGCTGCTGTATGGTTGTCGGTATGTAGGTTTATAGAGAATTTGTATTATTGATAAAATAATTTATTGTAAATTATTTTCTAATTATTCCTACTGTTTGAAACCCTAATAACTTTAAAAATTGCACAAATAAAAAAGATCACATTTACCTGAAAAGAAAATAGTCTTGAATTTAAGAGAAAATCTTACCCAACAAGACTGGAAATAAAAATTATTCTTTCCTTGCTCATCCAGAATCACCAGTTCCATCTAAAAACCTGTCTAGGGAATTTCTCTTCCAGCCATGAAACATTTGTTTTACTTACACAAACACACACTCTTATTCGCATTTATACGTGTGTAAGTGCCAGTAAATGCCAGTTAAAATCCAAAAAGACAGAACAGAAGAAGAAACAGATTTGTAGTGTTGAAATTAATGACTTCTAATTAAGTACTGAAATTTTTTTTTTTATAAATTCAATTGATTCTCCATATGTATATTCCAACCACAAACTCACAAATCCTTCTCACACAGAGAAATACACAAGTCCTTCACATAGAGGCTTTCACTTTATAGCTGAAAAACTCAGAGAGAAAAAAAATATAAAAGGATGGAGATGGGGGAAGGTAAAAGAAAAAGGGATGGGGGTGGAACCAAACCTGGATGCAATGGTGTTATTCAAATGTTTTTACTACCGGTTCTATGGACATGGCTTGTGGTTTGGTGGGCGTGGCTTGGTGGGCATGGCAGGGAAAGGATATGCTGCAAAATCTCCATTTCCACCCTACTTCAGGGGAAGGAGACTGTAAAATCCCCATTCCCTCCCCACCCCACTAACCTGCTTTCCAGCTCCGTTCTCCTGTGCAGGGCAACAAAGGAAGACCCAGCCAATCAGCTGGGACTCCGACCAGCTGAAACTCGGGAAGCAGCGAATAGATGGGGGGTGGGGTCAACCAGAGGTGGTATTTACTGGTTCTCTGAACTACTCAAAATTTCTGTGACTGGTTCTCCAGAACCTGTCAGAACTGGCTGAATACCACCTCTGCCTGGATGGAGATGACAAAGGAAGAGCAAACTGAACAACGAGCACCAAATAAAAATGTGGGAGAAACTCCAGATGTTATCTATAGACTGAAGCATTTGAAGGGCAAACTTCTCTAGGCTTAAAAAGGGACAGATGGAGTTCTTGAGCAAACAATATGAAGATTCCTCTGGATGGAAATTGGGATGAGATTACAGACAATATGTCTTTCTGGTGTCATCAAAGCCATACTGACATAAGAAACTGTATAAAATTTCCATTAGACTCAGTAAAAATTATCTTTGGCAACATTACAACTTCAATAATCTGAGCAGCTTCATTGTGTAAAATTATGAACTTCTATGTTCTATGGAAGTTTTCTGAACCTTAGATGATTCACCCAGGATCACATTTGGAGCAATCCTAAAATGCAATGCCGTGATATCCCTTTTCCAGCTGAACTGCAGCTCTCCAATAAAGCAAACTGAAATAATGCAAACAATAAAGGATAGATTTTTTTCCCCCACTTTAGGTTGTCCTGGTGCCAAAAAGAGTGAATTTCTGACCAGTGTTCTAGATGCACTTTCCACAGATATGGTGCATGCTGTCTCTGACCCTGGAGTATCTTCCAGCAGGTGGGTTCTTCTTTCCCAAAAGGAGTGGACATTTCCTCCTTTTTGCAAAATCTGTATAGGATTTTTCTGTCAGACAAACTGTTTTCTCTTCTCTCCCTGGTTCTGTGGTGTTTATCAGCATTTCCTTGCTAATTACAGGCCTCTGCCTTTTGAACATTCACTGGTAATCCATTTGAAATGGCTGAAAAAATATTGGTGCAATAACAGAAATTAGAGAATTAAATATATCATTTAAAGTAAGAACTGTATTTTACATAATAACATTTCATTTTTTGTTGTTTTTAGCATCTACAATATACGTTTCATCTTATCACAGATAAAATAATATTATGAATATGTTCCATGTAAGCACAAAGCAATCGTTATTGGGTATTATTTCTTTTGGATGCAGCAAACTCAAATATAAAGTATCAGATCTTGTATGGTTTATGTTATTTTGGGTTTTTTTTTCCTTGTGTTTTCATTCTGTTGTTGTATACTGTTCAAAACTGTTTGAATAGGATGGCATAGAAATGTCATCAGTAAAAATAAAATTTAGCAGAGCACAGTCCTGATTAAAATTACTTATAAGTAAAATGCCTTGAAAGCAAAGCAACTTAGTCTGCTCATGACTAAATCAATTGTGACCACATTGAATGGGAAGTACTCTTAGTTAGGTCTGGGTCATAGGACTATGGAAATTAAAGATCCCAGACCCTACCCTGGAAGAGTGGTGGATAAGAAGACAAATTTGGGTCTACTAGTACATCTCTGAGTGTTTTATAGAAGGTTGGCCAGGATTTCTAGGTAAGATCCAGAATTCATCAGCTTAAAACAAACTCACTGACATAATTAATTATGAGTTTAAGTCTTAAATAAGATTAAATCTGCATTTAACTTGCTGCCTGCCAATTAGCAAAACACTTTTAAAAGTTAAGTTGCTGAAAAAAGGGTGGCTAAAGAAAAAACAAACTCAAATATTTTAAATATTTTTATTTTATATTTTTATTTTAAAGGATATGCATTTCTATTGCTGCCCTATACCTTGAAACAGCCCCCTTCCTTTTTTTTTTTAATAAAAATTTTATTTGGGTTTTCACAAAACATAATACAAGTAAAATTTCTTTTTTTAAGAATAGCACGGTCCCGAGTTATCACTTCTCCATACAGACACAAATTCAATTTCATATTCATCTTTGTGTTCTATTCCATATCTTATTTCTATTTTAACATTTTCTCAATAATTTTTCCCTTCCCTTAGTTTTCTCAATCTTACTTTTAATTATCTCATTCCTGTCTAAATTCAATTACATATATCTTTTTCTAAGTTTTAATATCTTTCTAATAATTATACTTTTGTCTGTCCTGTTTCAATTTCATATTTTCTTTTCTCATTAAACAAAATTTTCCCCTGTAGTTATTGATTGGAGTATGACACTTTTGCATCTTTTAATTTTTGTCCATTCAACTCTTATTTAAACTTCAATTTATGCCTTTACAATTATAACTTTCAATATAACACATAACTTCCAGTCGAATTCTGCTTGGTACATTCTTAAAATACGCACTAAGTTCTTAAAGAGAAGATATATCTATAAAACAATAATAAATAAAATACTTATTCTATTCCAATTCAGCTCTATCATTAATGTTAGTTGTAATCTTTAACATCTTTAACATTTCTTTTCAATAGAATATCATACTTCTAGGAACATTTATAATATTTCCATATTTTTTTTCATTTCTTTCATATTACTCTTCACTTAAATTTTTATAGCACAAGAAACAGCCCCCTTCCTGAAGGCCTTCTAGAGATTGGTAAAACTGAGTTTAGGGAGGGATGAGGAGATGTCATCTGTTGTTTGCATTATAGATTTGGATTTGTTGTATTATTTCAGTTTTAATTGTGTTTTTAGAATTTTTATGGTCATTGTAAACCATTGAGAATCCTAATAGGTTATGGTGGAGAGAGAAAGAGGGAGGGAGGGAATGAGGAGATGGCGGGATATTGACAAAACAGAACATTCTAATTGTTTTAGTAGCCTCATTAATATCTGGAAACTTAAGAACCTTAAGAAATGCAGCGGACAAAGTGAAATGAATGATTCAATTTCATTGGGAATGAAAAATAGAATAAAGGTTAGTATTTGCTTATATGTATAAATTGTGGAATGAAGAAATGAAATATTGAGTCTTGAAAATCAATGTCTCCGGGTTTTAAGAAATGTAAAACATGTGTCTTACAATTTTAAAAAAGAAGTCAATTGACTAACAAATATTATTTTCTTCAAAGACATTTTTAAAAAGTTGCAAGTCATATTTTTTTATGCTGGCATTATTAGAAGTTTTACTAAAGTTTTTAGCAATGAATATGAATTGGTTTTGTCCAGGCACAGCATTGTTTTGGTTTCAAATCATAACATATATTAAAATATTATTGTCAAAAAGCTATAACAGTGAAAGATGTCAATGTGATTTAAACTTTCTATGGATTTTGCCATTTTATGAAAAGCTTTATGATATCTTAAGCAATTAGAAAGAAATATCCCCCTGATATTAAGGAAAATTTAAAATTTAAAATCCACAGTTCACCTACTTATTTATAGTACAATACATTTGTGTTTTGGACTTAAAAAACAGAATTGAGACATAGGTCATGGTGACTATCAAATCTAAAAAAGCAGAGACAATGAATTTTTTTTTTTATTCAGAACATGCCCATAATATGGAAATTAGATGTATTGTGCATGTGATAACTTGTTTGTTTTAATAACATGAAATTTTTAATACTACACATGTGCATATTCTAGAATTAGGCCTACAGAGTGTAATAATAAAACTATATAGATAATAAAACTATATAGAAGGAAGTGTAGGCATAAAAGCAAACAATACAACCTTTTAAAATACTTTGAAGAGAAATTAACATGAGATTTCCCATCTTCTTTTCCATGCCCGTCATGCAGGTGTTTATGGGAGAGAAAACAAATGGTGGACAACCTCATCTGCAAACACGTTTTTCTACAGTTTATTGATTTTTCCATGCAACAGGATTGTTGTACATATTCTAGTGTGTATTACCTCTTGGCATGAGACATTAATGAAGAGGATTGTAGAGTAGCTCTTAAACACTTAAACTAGATCCACAGAAATTGTGGCTCCAGGTCATTCTCCCCAAAGCTTTGGGTGAGACATCCAGAATCTACTGTAAAAGTATTGTTTTAAATTGACCAAGAGAAAAAAAAATGTTTAAAATATGAGCAGTCGTGTTTAATTAGAGAGTTAGTTTAGGATAGAAATTTAGGCACTAGGCTTGAAACCAGGAAACCATGAATTCCAGTCCTACCTTAAGCACGAAACTATCTTGGTGACCTTGAGCTAGTCCCTCTTTCTCAGCCCTAGGAAGGAGGCAATGACAGAATAACAGAATAACAGAGTTGGAAGGTATCTTGTAGGTCATTTAGTCCACCCCCCTGCTCAAGCAGGAGGCTCTATATTATTTCTGAAAAGTGGCTGTCCAGCCTCTTCTTGAAAGCCTCCAGTGATAAAGCTCACACAGCTTCTGAAAGCAAGCCTTTCCATTAGTTGATTGTTTTGTCAGAAAATTTCTTCTTCTTTCTAGGTTGAATCTCTCCTTGATCAGTTTCCATCCACTGTTCCTTGTCCTACCCTCAGGTGCTTTGGAAAATAGGTTGTCCCCCTCCTCTCTGTGACAGCCCTCAAATATTGGAACACTGCTATCATGTTGCTCCTGGTCCTTCTCTTCACTAGATTAGCCATGCTCAGTTCTTGCAATCATCCTTTATACTTTTTAGCCTCCAGGCCCTAATCATCTTTGTTGCTGTTCTCCGTAGTCTTTCTCAAGTTTCAACATCTTTTTTATAGTGTGGTGACTAAAACTGGATATAGTATTATGGGTGTTTTCTAAGTTTCTAGGTATATTTTAAGACTTTATAGAGCGGTACTAATGTCTCATGTGATCTTGATTCAATCCCTCTGTTAATGCATCATAGGATTGCATTGGCTTTTTTGGCTGCTGCCACATACTGCTGGCTTATATTTAATTGATTGTGTACTAAGATCCCAAGATCCCAATATCCCACTCACAGTTACTGCTATTAAATCAGGTTTCACCTAACCTGTACATGTACTTTGGTTTTTTGTTTTTGTTTTGCTTAAGTGTAAAACTTTATTTTTCTCTACACAAAATTTCATCTTGCTAGATCAGGCTCAAGGTTCAAATCTGTCAAGATCCATTTGGATCTTGAGCCTATTATTTAGGGTGTTGGCTATTCCTGCCAGCTTAGTATCATCTGCACATTTGAAAAGTTCACCTGCTATTCCCTCATCTATTTTGAAGATTTTGAAGAGTACTGGGCCCAAGACGGAACCTTGTGGTGCCCCACTGCTTATTTTCAACCATGTAGATGTAGCACCTTTAAAGACTAGTCATTAAGTATGGTTTGCAGCCAGTTATAAATCCACCTGGTTGTGATCTAGCTTCTATCCCACTTTTTCTAGCTTACCAAGAAGTAGTTTGTGGTCAAAAAATGACAAACCACACCCCCAAAACTGTGCCACAAAAAGTGTAGGAACTTGTCTAGGCAGTCACCAGGAGTCAACCCTGGCCTGAAGGTACACACATATGTGCACACACAGTTATATTAATTGAACTGAATTTAAATATAAATCAAGTTAAAGTCCATTTTGCCCTAAATTCTACTTTCCCAAAAGTTACTCTGCCATATTATTTAACCAATTAATGAACTATTTCTTTTGTAGGCTTTCAGAACCAGATCCAAACCATACCCTGGAGGAAAGAGTTGTTCATTGGTATTTTAAGCAACTGGATAAAAATGCTAGTGGTGATATAGGCAAAAAAGAAATCAAACCTTTTAAGAAATTCTTGAGGAAAAAATCCAAGCCCAAAAAATGTGTGAAAAAGTTTGTGGAATACTGTGATGTGAACAATGACAAATCTTTGACAGTTCCAGAACTAATGGGTTGTCTGGGTGTAACAAAAGAAGACAATAAAGCAGATACAAAAAAACGTCATAGTAAGTAGAATTCATTACTAGCTCTTGTACTGTATAGCTTAGGTTTTTTTAAATTAAAAATGTTTGCAGTTCAACTCCCAGAATTTCCCAGCCAGCATGCTCGGAGTTAGTCTTCCTTTTCCGAGTTAAAAAACACTGGTTTAGCTGCTATTGAATGAGATCAGTGGGCAACATCAATGGAGTTTGCTTCTTCTATTTCTTAATGATTTATTTGTAACCCAGATTGAGGATGGTTGTTAGCGAAGCCTGAAAACTATTCTGCTCCTTTGAGAGATTACTTCCTGGTATTGCCCCTATTTCACTCTCGGTTCATCTCCAGGTTTTATTCCACTCTCAGTAATCAGCTCAATTCTTACTGAATTGTTTGGGGATCTTTCCAGTCACTTGAAAAAAAAGGGTAAACTTTGTTGTATTTCTGCAAAAGGATGTTCTCCAGCCTAGCTAATATCTTCCTCTTGAATATGAATTGTGTTTTGAGCTGCATATAAAATGGTATTTATCATCACAACATTTGAAGAAGAAATGGTAAAAACAGATATTAAAACAATAAAAAGCAAAATAAATTTTGGAAATGAGCAAAAGACTAAAGGCAGACTGTTTTGGCAAGAAATCTCATCTGACATTGAGAAAAATAACGTGTACAAAAAATAAGCTGGTTGGAGAATTCTGGGAGTTGAAGTCCACAAGTCTTTAAGTTGCCAAGTTTGGCAACTTAGACCCCTGTTCTATGATCAGGACTTTCCCCACAAGCCAAGCAAGATCATCAAATTTATTGCATCTAGTTCTGTTGCTAAGGAATAATTTAAATGCATATCTGAAAGGTTTAAAGTCTGTTTAAATTGTTACATAGAATCCTGTTTACTCTCAAATAACTTCCTGACTCTTTTGCTCCTCAGCAGTTCCCAGAAGACATGCTGAAAGTACTCCTTCTAACAGGCAGGTACGTATAAGAAGGGAGTGTGGGGGGAAAAGAACTTTTCCATTCTCTTGATAGCATTTGGAATTTGCCTGGTTGGGCAACCACATTGAAGTGAGAGAGCATTCACCTCTGCAAGGAGAGAAACAAGCTACCAGGTCATATGTGATTATTTCTCATTTTCTGCTACTTTCTTGACAGTTATCCTCTCTAAACCAGTGGGAATTTAGTAAAGGTTTTTCACACCTTTGGAAGAATCCAGAAGAAACCCAAATCACTCCTTCCTACATCACTCATTGATTTAACTCCTTAAACATTTTATTTTACATTTTGAACAAGGTGGCCTTGAAAACTCTTAATTCTGGTAGAACTTGAAACTGCCCCAACCATTTATTTTGATTATGTAATTGTTGTGGCTGTGAGCATGTGACTTACTCTTTGTTCAAATCCAAAACTGGCTTTATTTTTCTCCCCTTTGGCCTCCTCTAACTTTCTGGTCATCTGATAACATGTAAAGGATATAGTGCAATAGTGCTATCTTTTCTCTTTTTCTTAAAGAATTATTTGATCCAATATTTCTGCTGAGTCATTTGCAATTATTTTAAAAGCTCACCCTGTGAAGTGATAGCCTTGAAATGGCCCTAGCTGTACAAACCATCTGTTTGGCAGTTAACTGCTACAGCAATGGGAGGCCATAAAAGGTCCTCACAGATTCCAAAGGGGGCTTTCATTAGAAGAGCGCTTGCTTGAAAGGAAGGCTTTGGAATTGAATCTGCCTCACAAGAAACATTTAAAAAGGAACTACTTACCTTAAAGACAACGATCGGCTCTGTTTCCATTAGGGAATGGGCCACAAATGACCCAAGACTCAATACACACATTATGAACAGCGAAGTGGTAGATTGGAGCAATAGAGTTGTGGTCTAAAATGCTTTCAGACTGCAGGTGAGAAGTCATGGTTTGAATGGCTGCCATTCAGTAAACTAGCTTTTATGCAAAAGGACTATGCTAAAATATAATTGACCAGAGTGGGGGGGGGAATCTTTTCTGCATAGGTAATAGGGAAAAGCATTTATACCTGAGGTACCATGGCTGCTATTGTGAAGTGGTGTGACCCAGGAGATCTGAACAACTTTATTTTATTTATTTATTTATTTTGATTTGTCAATTGCTTACAAGATAATAGGTATAAGTATAAACATAGTTATGAGTACATGGATATGTATAAGAGAAATAAAAGAAACAATAGGACAGGGACGGTAGGCACGTTTGTGCACTTATGCACACCCCCTACAGACCTCTTAGGAAAGGGGTGAGGTCAACAGTAGACAGTCTAAGGTTAAAGTTTTTGGGGTTTGGGGAAGAAACCACAGAGTCAGGTAGAGTATTCCAGACATTGACCACTCTGTTGCTGAAGTCAAGTTTGGTGCGGTTAACCATGAGTTTGTATCTGTTGTGTGCTCTTATATTGTTATGGTTGAAGCTGAAGTATTCATTGACAGGTAGGACATTGCAATGTATGAGTTTATACACTATACTTAGATCGGACTAAAGGCAGTGTAGTTCTAGGTTTTCTAGGTCTAGAATTTCAAGTCTGGTGGCATAAGGTATTCTACGAGTAGAGGAGTGGAGAACTCTTCTTGAGAAATATTTCTGGACTTTCTCAACTGTGCTAATATCAGATACGTAATGTGGGTTCCAGACTGATGAGCTGTATTCGACTATTGGTCTAGCAAATGTTTTGTATGCTCTAGTTAGTAGTGGGATATTACCAGAGAAAAAGCTACATAGGATTAGATTAACAACTCTTAATGCGTTTTTGGCTATGTAGTTACAGTGGGCTCTAGCAGTTAGATCATTAGAGATGAGTACTCCAAGGTCCATGACAGAGTTTGGATCATCAACAAGGTCTTGACTATTCAGCTTGTATTTTATTTTCTGATTTTTGTTACCAATGTGTAAGACAGAGCATTTATTTGTTGAGATTTGAAGTTGCCATTTGTTTGACCATTCTGATACATAGTCGAGGTCTTTTTGAAGGGTAGCAGAATTATCCGTGGTGTTGAATAGCTTTACATCATCAGCAAAGAAAATGCAGTTGCTCTTAATATGATCACAGAGGTCATTTATGTAGAGTATGAAGAGAGTTGATCCTAAAACACTGCCTTGGGGGACACCACTGTTGACAGGTACAGAATTTGATAGGACACTCCCAATTTTGACCATTTGTTGTCTGTTTGACAAGAATGCTTCTATCCAGTTATGCAGGTGTCCAGAGATACCATAAGATTTTAGTTTTAGGAGTAGTTTGTCATGTACCACTGAATCAAAGGCTTTACGGAAGTCTATGTAGATTGTGTCTATTGCTTTGCCCTGATCGAGTTGTGTAGTACTTTCACTATATTTTGACTTCTGAGAGAGAGATAGGTCTCATCCACAAAAATATAGGACTATGAATGGCAAATGCTGTACCTGATGCTGAAGGCTTCAGGAAATAATTATCTGTCCTCCGAAGAAGAGCTGGAGAACAGAGGAGGGGAATTGCCGTGGAGTGAGAAGACAGTGGAAGTGGGTTTCTCCATGCTTCCTCTGATTCCACGGAATTGGAACCAGGAATTCTGAAGTTAGATGGGTGGATTGCTGAAGAGGGCCAGCTTTTTGTTACTGGCAAATAGAGTTTGCATGCATGATATGGTAGTGAATAGCTGTTAGGCAAGGTTATTCTGCTCTGTTGTAGTTGGACATCAGTAAGAGCATTGTTAGCTGGCCCTTGGTTGATTGGTGGGAAGCTAAGTGGATCAGAAAAGGAGAAGATAAGGATAAGCTGGAAGAAGTATGGCAGGAAATGTTGGTATGGACTGGTTCATGGACAGAGGGAAAATTATTGCAATCCCTTATCCAGGATCCCCCTTTTAAGCCATAAACCAGATATCCAGACTTCTGAATAACTTGGATTTAGGTTGCTTTTGAACATCAGGTCTGTCTGCAAAAAAATATAACTGCACAACACATGTAATTGGCCATACATTAGATCTCACCTTTAACTTGAAGTGTATGTTATGTGATCTAGTTCCAGAGGATGTTTCCAACAATCCCTTTCTTGTGATTAACCAGAGCCACAGTCTGCACAGGAAGAAGGGCTGATTTCACAGAGCACATGATTTTCTCAAAAGTTGGAAGCTAATCCAGTTGGATACTTTGTTAGCTTTGAAATACAAATATGGCCAGGTTGCTGGACAGGTTTTTTTTTCTGATACTAATAGAAGAGAAATGATGACATGACCTAGCCAGATAATGAAATGTCTGCAAGCAACAACTAAACTCAGAAAGTTCAGAAACTTTTTTTGCATGGAGAATCTTTACCTGGTCAGTTAACTTTAGGAAATGAAATAGATGAAGAGAAACCAGAAGCAACCCTATCAGAAAAGGGAAAAAAATGAGGTGGCCAAAACAGAGACAATTCTGATTCAAGATTATAAAAATAACACAATTCTGATTCTTGCAATCAAGAGGTATTTATTAGATCTATATGCTTCACATCACAACACTATTTGTGCATCTATGGAATGTCAGCCAACTGTATTGTTAATGTGGCTCACCTCCCTTAGGAAAATATAGGGCAGAATAACTGATTGATGTAACTTGCAATAACTTGGTTTAACATTTCATGGATAATACCATTTGCATTTGCTTTGAGTTGGAAGCCAGATAGGTGGAATCTATTGAGATTTCAAAAGTGATGTCTTGTTATGTTTTCTGTAAGCTCTGTAAACCTGTGAAATTCAGAGAAGTGATTTTAACTCAACTACATGTGCAGTTTCATTCACCTAGCTGATTAAAGTGTTAATCCTCTTAAAAAGGATTAAGAGTTGATTCGAGGTAGTAATCAACACTTTAAAAAAATGAAGGAGAAGGAGTTCTGAAAGAGGCACTGGTTTGCCTGTTTCTCAAGAGGCTTAGCTAGTTCTTGAGAACGTGGTAGAGTTGCAATTATAGAGGTTATAGAGATCTCTGGAGGATATATGGCAGTCTGTTTTTAGCCCCAGACATGAGGTGAAAATTGCATCTATTGATGGAATTTGTTCTTATGGACCAAAATTTATTTATCTATGCATTTATTTATCATATTTGTTTTTAAATATGATTTTAATTAAGCTTATCAAACTATAAACCACAAGTAAAAATAAAGATAGTAGAAAACTGAGGAAGAAAGAAAAGGAGAAGAGAGAAGTGTGGGATAAAGAGAAAAAAGTATTCACCTCCAATTCTTTTCAGCACAATAGATTAAAGACAATATTATAGCTTCAACTATTTACTATATACTAGCTATTTCTGTAACAACAAACCTTTCCGCTCAGCAAGTAATATAGTTTCATTTTTTATGTCTGAAGCACAAAATCTAGAAGCAGTTTCCAAGCAGAAACAAAATTTGGATGCATTCTTTTCTTTGATTAAAGCAGTTAATCTGGCCATATCTCTAGCTCCATCAATTTTTCCAGCTACTCTCCCATTGTGAAAATGAAAGTATCTTTCCATTTTTTGCACATAGAGCAGCCAACATGTTCAACAAGAAAGTTTCAGATTTTTTTTCAAGTCCCTTGTCCATAAAACCTAAAAGAAAAATCTCTGGTTGTATTTTTATATTCATTTTAAGGGTTTTCTATATTAAAATACAAATCTTATTCCAGTATTTATTTATCATACTTGTACAGCTGCCCAGCTCATATGAAAGTTACTCTAGGCAGTATGCAATATTTAATTAAAAACAATAAATACATAAAAAATATATGTATGTTGCCAAAAAGTACATACACGTATAGAAAGTATATTTAAAAGTATTATTAAAAGTAATTATTTAAAAGCACAAAAAGAGAAGAGGGTGATATTAACCATATTAATGGTAGTAATGAAGCCATTGCAAAATTTCTCCATTCCCCTAGTCCCCCCATCCCAGGACAGGGACTTGGAGAACATTGGGAGGGGAGGAGCTAATTTCACTTCTGGGTAGGGGAAGGAGATTCCTCAAGGTGAATTCAGAAAGGACCCAACTCCTGGAAGCCACCAAATGTAGTTCCCCAGCAGATGGGACTCACAGCATACTTTCTCTGCCAGACCTGACAGGCTCTACGGATATAATCAAAGAGAGTCAATCCCTCAGAGTATAGTTGCAGCTATACTTCAGAAGTGGAGTGGGGAGGGAAGAATTTGGAGAACTTCAGAACAAAGCAATAGTTTTTCCACACCCACCAGATTTACTTTCTATCAATTATGACAGTAGCTAGAGGCAAAGCAGTTTTCCTCAGAACTTTATTGCTTGTTGTTGAAACAAAGGATAAAAAGAGAGAACTGTTTGCAGTGCAAACCTTTGATAATTGATAGCTGATCATTATAAGATCCTCTTGTGATACATTTAGCACCATGGAATATTCTATTTTAATCGCAATACATTTGTTTCAAAATATTAGTAAAACTGTTTTTTTCTTATTTTAATGCCATTGTGTATAGTATAGTAGCATACAGCATGAAATACTATTTTTTTTCAAATTTTTATTGGCAGCAATCCTCAAAGAAGCAAGGCTGAACACTTCATAGCCAAGGCAGATCTCTCGGATATGTGCGAGATTCCCTCACCAAAGGTCAATAAAGAGCAACCATAGTATTTGCACTTTGTACTTTAAATGTAAATTCACTTTGTAGAAATGAGATATTTAAACAGACATTTTTTTAAAAAAAATCTGTGAAAATGTAGTAACAGCTTATTTTTAAAAAATTACCACATACAATGTATGTGCCTTTTTTGTTGTCTGAAATCTATGTCTTGAAGATGTAAAAGTTTGCATTTAATCTGTTCTTAAAAGAATTATGTTCTGTCTTGTAGAAGCTAACTTTATAGAATGTATATGTGTGCGTGTGTTTGTGTGTGCATATATATACAGTATATACACACATACATACACACATACACATTTTCAGTAGAATTGCTTATTTTTATGTAACCTTTAATATTATTGAATCAGCTTGATCTGAAGACGACTAAACTCACAAAGTCACATAATCTATGTTTGAGGTTGCATGTTCTTAAAGTCACATAAAAGATTAAAAAGTTTTGGTGATTTATGTACAGAGATTTTAGAAAGAGTTTAGGGTGCTTTTGTTGAAAAGATGAATACCTTTTTCTCAAAAATACAGTTGTACAGCTAGACTACAACCACACTAGTTTGAAAAAACACACACACACACACTTTTGTCTTTTTGAATTTCCTATAATTTCTAGAAGGCAAGAGTATATGTTTATTTTAGTTTCTATCATTTTGTTTTGGGATGGTTCAATCAGCCAGTAAAGGGAAAGAAAGTTCATTCTGTCACTCAGAACTGATTCTGTTAAGTCACAGAATAGCAGTAAAAGGACACATTTATTTAGCATTGTTGGTGTAATTGTAAGAAGACAAAGAAACTAAAACAGACTTGTCCGTCTTTGCTGTTTCTTACACATGGATAGGCTAAGATATGAGACTTAGGAGCCCCAGGTCTTGGACAAATTATGTACGGTTATGTAAGGAGATGAAATTAGGCCAAGCTCTCCCTTGGGGCATTTCTCTTGCCATCTGGGAGATGATCTTACAAGTTTTCATACCTTTCCTTCCAACCTGTTGGGAGGTAGGATTTTTCAGTTCATTTCTATAATGCCTTAAAGGAACAAGAATTTGTAGATGTGCCCTTGACACCAAAAGCTTTTAAAGAAGAAAAGAAGCATTTGGAAAACCTTAACTTTTTGATTTTGGACAGATTTTAGCCAAAGAGACCAAACGGATAAAGTAACTGATTGTATATATTTAAAAAGTAAAGAGGATAGCTGTAATTGTTAACAATGACCAATATTCTTTTCAGTTCAGTAATGGAAGTTTTGTTTGATAATATGTAGAATAGTTTTTGGTGATTGTGTTTTGATTTGGTCTCTACAGTATATTGTATTTATATCTACATTTATAAATTGCCTAATAATGTGTGATTAGACGGCTTTATTCAGATTCAATTTGAGCAATATAAAATGGGTTTTTATCCAGACATTTGGGTATGAGAAGATAACCATGATGCATAGGAATTTTTATGTCTTTTTAAAAATCCTTTTGTTACTTAGAATTTGATACTTTTTTAAAATAATGCTAAACTTTGAATTTAAACTATTTAGATTAAAAATATAGTGTGCTTCAAAAAGTGTTTTTGTTGTTTGTGGCTCTTATATAACTTTATATATTTACTTGATTCTTAACAGATCAGTAGATGCATATTCTGTTTCCACAAAATATTATACCTGTTTTTTTAAAATGAACAACAAAGATTGAAGACCTAATTTATGGAATAGTCAAATATTTCATACAATCATCTAAATAACCAATTGTGAATTTCAATATGTATTAGAGATTGACAAATACTGGATTTCCTTTAGTAATAATTTCACACCACACGTTCCTAATAACACTTCTTGTAAATTGTTGTGTGAATTGTGGCATCTAGATTAATATGAAACACACAGATTAACAGAATATGCAGATATATAATTCTATTGTCACAAATTGCTCTTAGGAATACCTATAGTTGTACCTATAGTTGTATATAGCTGTGTACTTAAAAGAGTGTAAAATGAAAATAAGAACAAAAGCAAAGTAGTTTTGCAGAGTCAGAGGAAGAAAGCAACATCAGTATTCAATTTCCAGGCCCCAAAGGTACAAAAGTTTTGGCTAGGCAGTTCTGGGTGATCAGAGCTGATCAGGAATGAAATTTCAATCAATTGTAAATATTTTTTTAGCTTTACCATGATTGTCAAGCTTGAACTGCACTGAAATTAAAATATCACTAGGACAGAATGAGGTTAAATGAGTTTTAAAATACATTAACAAACAGGAGGAAGAAAATATAAGAAGGCTGCTGACAGATTTCTTGTGCTAGAAGAAACAAATTAAAGATATCTAAATCTGCAAGATGACTCAACTTGGCATTTCCCAAAGATGTTTGCCTTTTTATAGTCTGCCAGAAAGGACAGATTAGTGCTGGTTACTCCTTGACAAAGGCAATTTAGAAATACACCTGATATATTTACATTTGGGTTTTATGCTGTTAGAGCAACTTATATTAAAACTGGTGTCAAAAAAATTCCTTCAATGTAGAGAGTGAAAGGTTTATTGCATTAGCTTATTTTTTTAAAGAAAACAAATTGAGGTAATTAGGGAGTAATTACTTCAACATTGAATGCAAAGAAGTTAACTTCATTGATTCCTGAAACATTAGACTGATTACAGTAAATGACTGATGTAAACTGTGCTCACTGTCCCAATAACTTATTGTATTTTTGTTAACCAAAAACATATGTGAAAAGCATTCAACAAAAAGAACAACTTAGTTTTCTTTCTCCGATAAAAGCCTTCCTGGGTTGTTGATCTGTGTGATACTGGCCTCCTTAAATAAATGCCAGGAAATGTTTGGAAAAATGGGTGCTGCTTTTGGGCCAGTGCCAGCCAGTACTAAGTGGTACATGGACTTATTGTCCCCTTTGTTTCCTGGACTTCTCCCTTCCAAAATAAAATATTCTTATATTTCATAATATGTAAGCAATCCAGGAGAAGCCTTATTAAACGACCAAGAGAAGACAAATGTCTATTTTCTTATTATTGTTTCATTACGCATTCTAGTCAGCCCATGCACTACTAAGCTATTTGTGCAGTAGGCATTTTTAGTAAATCTGTAAGATAAGTAGATAGATAAGAAGTAAAGAAGCTGGTAGGACTCAAACAAATCTTAGCTGTTGTTTGGAAAACCTCAAGTGACTTCACTCCACCTATGCCGGAATGTTTGTTACCGCTTTGCTTTCAGATATGAAGTGTTTGTTACTTCTTACTTTTAAAGGTTGCTATGGGTTGGGCCCAATTTGCCCAAGTAATGTGTTCTACGTAATTCTCCTTCTTCCACTGGTGACCTTCTGAGGATTTTAATCTCTTGTTCCTGCAAATTAATTTCATAACCATTTAGGAGTGATCCTTTCCTTACAGCTTTTGGAATGAACTTTCAGCTAATCTGAGGATGCTCGCTCATTTTTTTAAACAGGTCTTTCATTGCTGATTATACTGATTTTAACATTGGTTTAATAATTGTACTGTAAACCACTGATAAACTGGTAGAATTTAATAAATATATCTATATATTCCTTCCTTTTGGTTCACCTTTCCTTTGTTTCCTTGGTGGTAAAAGTAATTGGTGCTTTCTTTAATGCTAATTCAGGCAGAGGGGTGTGTGTGTGTGTGTGTGTGTGTGTGTGTGTGTGTGTGTGTGTATGTGTGCAGATTTCCTGGGGAATCTCTTGAGATGGGCACATCTGGGAGAGGGGAAAACGCAATCATCTTGATATTTTGAGATACCATACTTTTCTTAAAGCACTGTCATGAATAACATGCAAATCATTTGTACAAAATCATAAATACTTGCTCAGTTTCTTTTTTTTTACCTGTTTCTTCTTTAAAAACAATAATGATTTAAAGGATGAAACTCATAAAATCAACTTCCTTATCTTTTATATATATGCTATATCACTGGTCTTCAAAATCCCAGTTGGTTGTAGGTGTGGCACTTTAAAAAAAAAGTTGTCTGTAAAAACAATGAGGACATCACATAGCCAATCAGGGAGGTCAAAGTGATTGTGTCATTATAAATATTCAGATTAAAAATAGGGCTGCTCATAGATTTTATTGATTTGCAATTAGATTGTTCCCTGGCAAAATCTGAAACTCTTAAGACAGAGGTCCCCAAACTTGGCAACTTTAAAACTCATGGACTTCAATTCCCAGAATTCTATGCTGGCTATGCTATGCTGGCTGGAGAATTCTGGGACTTGAAGTCCAAAAGTCTTAAAGTTGCCAAATTTGGAGACCTCTGGTCTAAGAGGTCATACTATGCTAGCACAAGGTTTCTTTTACACAAAATGTATCTACTACTCTGATGATGCCAGCATTTTCCAATACAAAGCTCAATATTGCCATCTGTACTAGTCATTTCCATGACTAAAAACCTGTTCCATTCCAGTTATAATTCAAACTTCTGAACATTTTGGTTTCTCTTTTGTTCAGCCCTGAAGAAATTGAGAGAATATAACATGCATATAAAAGGGACAGCACTTGCATCACAATGTCACAATATTGCTTCTGTCAATCTGACATCCTTTGCCCCCTTCGCAAAGACACCATGGGAATGGGTACCAAGGAAAATCGTTAGATAATTAAATTGTAATGCCTTATTTGCCACAAGTATTTAATCTCACATTAGAGCTATTCGCTATTATCATATTGTTTACCAACAGATCCAATAACAACTCTTCTGAATTTTCCTTGCTCAGCTTTGTTAGACAACTCTGTGCTTTGAAAGAAAGCAATTCTCCTCACACTGTGCATAATTTTATTCATTTTTATCATGCCCATCAATATTTTTGACCATTTTAAGCACATTTTCTTGCTTTCAGTTCCCAACTTGTGGTGGGATGCAAAAAAACCCCCACTGGATTCTAATTCCATTATTAAAGGCATAAGGCAATTGGCAATTTTATTTATATTTCCCTCCTCTCCCGCTTTTTTTAACAGAAGCTAAGCACAGTATTTTTCCTTAAGTTATTCATTGTAAATTATAAATCAAATACTGTTTCTACAGTATATTCCAAATGGCTGTATTTCTACAGCCATTTTGCCTCATGGTCAATTCAAAAATGTTTTCCAAATCCAAAGAAGAAAACAAGATGTAATGAAAATTTGAGAGCAGAACCTAATGTGCATTTCTAAATTGGGAGCAGATTTACACAAGATGAGGAAATCCAAACCACAACAAAGAGGAATTTCTTTTGTATTTCTTATGATTTGAGCAAAATGTAATTAGATTAAAAAAAATTGAATTGATAGATCCACATTAGGCTTGGCTGCTATCCTGCGGTTATATTTGCTTTAATCAACATGTTAATGACAAAATGTCAAAAATAATGGGGGGAGGGGGTTACTGCCTTTTTTGTGGCTTATTTTTGCATTCCTTCTTAGAAAGATTAAAAAATAATTTAAAATACATTGGGAAATTTTTGATCTAAGGATAATTAGAGGAAGTTGCGTATAACTTTTGTGTTTAAGTGTTCAAGAATGTAAAATGTGATCTCTAAAGTGAAGGAATTGGACTTTTTTGAAAGATAATGAAAATTGCAGGGGTCTAACTGTAGCCAGCCTTCTCCCATTAGATGAGCATTGCCGCTGGCAGAGTGAGCACATATATTAAAATAAATGAAATCAAGAAACATCTTTTGTTGTTGTTTTTTCTTCTGAGTTTGAAAGGAAATTATCTGCAAAGGCCTGTTCATGGGACATTTCCATGAGAGAAATGTCTCATGAAAACCCGAAATCCGCAATCTCAGAAAATTAGAATATTGTGAAAAGGTTCACCATTCTAGGCTCAAAGTGTCCCACTCTAATCAGCTAATTAATACCTGCAAAGGGTTCCTGAGCCTTTAAATGGTCTCTCAGTCGGGTTCAGTAGGAATCACAATCATGGGAAAGACTGCTGACCTGACAGTTGTGCAGAAAACCATCATTAACACCCTCTATAAGGAGGGAAAGCCTCAAAAGGTAATTGCAAATGAAGTTGGATGTTCCCAAAGTGCTGTATCAAAGCACATTAATAGAAAGTTATGTAGAAGGGAAAAGTGTGGAAGAAAAAGGTGCACAAGCAGTAGGGATGACCGCAGCCTGGAGAGGATTGTTAGGAAAAGGCCATTCAAAAGTGTTGGGGACTTTCACAAAGAGTGAACTGAGGCTGGAGTCAGTGCATCAAGAGCCACCACACCCAGACGGATCCTGGACATGGGCTTCAAATATTGCATTCCTCTTGTCAAGCTGCTCCTGAACAACAAGCAACGTCAGAAGCATCTTACCTGGGCTAAAGAAAAACAGAACTGGTCTGTTGCTCAGTGGTCCAAAGTCCTCTTTTCTGATGAGAGCAACTTTTGCATCTCATTTGGAAACCAAGAACCCAGAGTGTGGAGGAAGAATGGTGAGGCAAACACTGCAAGATGCTTGAAGTCCAGTGTGAAGTTTCCACAGTTTGTGTTGATTTGGGGAGCCATGTCATCTGCTGGTGTTGGTCCACTGTGCTTCATTAAGTCCAGGGTCAATGCAGCCGTTTACCAGGAGATTTTGGGGCACTTCATGCTTCATTTCACAGACGAGCTTTATGGGGATGCTGACTTCATTTTCCAGCAGGACTTGGCACCTGCCCACACTGCCAAAAGCAACAAAACCTGGTTCAATGACCATGGGATTATTGTGCTTGATTGGCCAGCAAACTCGCCTGACCTGAACCCTATAGAGAATCTATGGGGCATTGCCAAGAGAAAGATGAGAGACATGAGACCGAACAATGCAGAAGAGCTGAAGGCCGCTATTGAAGCATCCTGGTCTTCCATAACACCTCAGCAGTGCCACAGGCTGATAACTTCGATGGCACATCGCATTGAGGCAGTAATTTCTGCAAAAGGGGCCCAAACCAAGTACTGAGTATATATGCATGCTTATACTTTTCAGAGGTCTGATACTGTTCTATGTACAATCCTTGTTTTATTGATTGCATGTAATATTCTAATTTTCTGAGATTGTGGATTTGGGGTTTTCATGAGCTGTAAACCATAATCATCTCAATTATGACACATCACGGCTTGAACTATCTTGCTTTGCATGTAATGAGTCTATTTCATATATCAGTTTCACCTTTTAAGTTGCATTACTGAAATAAATGAACTTTTGCACGATATTCTAATTTTTCGAGTTTCACCTCTATATAATTTTGCTCTCAGACATGATGGTAGCCTACATAGAGGTACATAAACATAAACCTGTTTGGACAGGTATCCAGGAACTAAAGAAAAAAGACATATTGAATTTTCTGTGTATTTTGTGTGGAGATAAAACATTAAAAGAGGGTGTATACAAAAACTATGTATCAGAACAAATTAAAACTTACCTTAACAATGTTAGGGTTGTTTCAACTGAAAAACCCACACTGGGTTTGAGAATTGAAGAATTGGCATCAAATATCAAGGTAGTACATCTTTTGACAAATTAATTGGCTTAACTTCAAAGGACGTGCACTGGAAAAGAATTCTATAGCCTACCAAATGTGTGAAATTCATGGTTAATCCCTCCAGAACAACTATCCTACTGAACTAGGAAAACTATTGGCTAGGGTTCAGGATATTCCCCAATCTGAGCCAAGAATGAGAATAACACTGTCTTATTCAGGGATGACAACATAAATTAAAATTTCATAGCCTCACCCTTAACCTAGAAATGGTTATAACTTGTCTGTTGGCTTTAGTTCATTATTAACAGGGCTCGATCTTAGTTTTCCTATTCATGAGGGCCCATCTGGGGAAATATTACACTTGAAATGACCCAAGCTCTGAATACATATTGTTTGCACTTTTATTTCTGATTAAAGGTGACCCCAGCAATCCCTGACCTAAACGCTCGCATACCCAGAATCTTAAGTGGAATTTTAGAAATCAGATGAAGCAGGTCTTCTGCTCCAGCCAATGTATGCAAGAAGGACTCCTGATGAATGCATCTTTTTGTACCAGTGTTGGCTGAAAGACATACTGAGGACATCACCTCTCTTTGGACTCCTTGATTTTTAGGGAGATGTTTTTTATTTGGAATGATTATGAGAACACTGCTCCATCTCAGCCTTGCCAAATGAGAACCATCTGCTGGTAACATGGAATTGTTCAGAGAAAAGGCTCTTACAGGTTTTTTTTTTCCTCATATACTGGACAACCATTCCAAAAGGGGGTGAGGAAATGGAATAGTGTGGTTAAAAAAAAAAAGGCTAATAAATACAGTCACTGAAACACAAATATTACCAATTTGAAAAGGGACTGGAGAATAGTGGAATATTAAATATCAAATAAATGTTCTACCCCATTTTTCAAATTATATACTAATACATTATGCAGGAGAAACTGAAACCTGTTTTATGTTCCAGCTATTCAGGGTATTCAAGCAGAATTGGAAGGATCTTTATTCCAAAAGCAGGCTAGAAAGACTAGATTCTGGACTATTTGAAAGTTTTTAATTCCTATCCTAGCTTTGGTTTAATATTCATGGGTACGAGGGCAAATC